TGCAGGATCGACTAAGCAGGTCATGCAAGCCTGATGAGTTCAGTCTTTTCTGTTTCTTCGATTCAGCCACTTTCTTAAAGGACTTGAGTTCGAACTTTTCTTCCCTCAAGGACCTTGCGGATTTGTCTTTACTAGCTTCTTCCAATAGGACAATTTTCGCATTTTGCTTTGTTTTCCTTTTGCCTGAACATGCCTCTCCTACATCCTGGTTATCCCCTCTCACCTCAGTCGCAATAAACAAGTCCCTAGATGTTTTGAATTGCTAGTTATTGCCTATCAGCTCAGCCACCTCCTTTTCCTTTGTACTCGGCTCCACCTGCTTCCCTTAAATCAATTCTCTTAGCGTTTTTGGGATCATTTCGACATCTTCTGGTTCATGACTTTGCTTTCCATAGATGATTTTCCAGTAAGGCCTAGATTCACGTACTTCCACTCTCAGCAAATGTCCAATTTACCCACAATATTTTCTTCGAGCCCTGACTCCTCATACAACACTTCTTTACAGTAGGTCGCATAATGCCCAATCCGTCCGTAAGAGTAGCAAAAGCGTGAGTCTTTTGTATTTAAAGTCCACCCAAAGTTTCTTGTGAAACAATATCCACAATTGTGCCCACTATTAAAGGGGAGGAAAGGTCCAGGTAGACCCTAGCTTTATCGTTCTTGTGTTGGCTAGCTCCTTTTCACTCTGGTTTCACCTCTAAGGTGTTACATATTTTCCCTACCACATCCGAATCACTTCCTATGCTACCCTCCCTCGAGAAATGCCTACTAAGTAAACCAAAACAAACAGTGTGTAAATTCGTAACAATGCTCAGGAATATTCGGGTCTCCTTGATGTAGGACCAGTAAGTTGCTCGAGAAGGATGATGGGTTAGTTTCCAACACTCTCATTTTCTTGTCAACCAAATTAAATGTGAAAGAGAAAAACTCCGGCTCTATTAACTCACATTCTACCTATTTTGACTTCCATGCTTCCATGCTCTCTTCATTGTGCTTAGAAAAGCATGGAAGTTAACATTTGGTTTTGAATACAACTTCCCATACAGCATTAGGTCACTTTCCTTTTGTTTGGTTATAGAAATCCCTCCTTTAATCAACACTACATCATCTTCAGACCAAAGATTCCCAAGTTTTCTACACAAAGTAGCCAATGGGTCATCGCTACCCACCTCCCCTTCCATAGTAAAAGTTGAAGTTTTGATTAGGGCTTACCATCGCTGTTTGCTGAGATTGGCATTAAGTAATAGCTGCTTCATTCTCTGCTCGTGATACTGGTTATTTTATTTGCAATAGACTAGTCGATTATGGTCCTCAGTCCTATGGGAGTCCCATGGGAGATGCGCTGCCTTCATGCTCCATGCTCTAATGTTGTCTGATAGGAAGACACCAGTTAGACTGGTTGAGATTTGTAGTTGAAGATTGGTGCTAGTGAGCCGATTGAGGAGGGTGTGGTGGGGTTGATTATGTGGAAATGGATTGAAGGGGGCTCCATTATCAAAGGGTTTAGGGGAAGTGCTTGTGGTAGTGAAATGTTGTGTAAGAAGCCCATTTTAAGGTAGAAACTTCCTTCCTTCATCGAATCTGGCTCGAAGTAGGTCAACCTTGAGGGAAGATCGGCTTGGGTTAGGGTGAAGGGAATCTCTACAGGGTGGGCGTTTGGTCAGCCCCAGGATCAGCATGGGGTTAGGGCAAGGAGGCAGATGAGTGAGGAATGGGATAAGTGAGAAATGGGGTGGGTGTGATTTAGGGATTAGGGCAACAAGAGATTTTAGGAAAAACTATTACCATTGGAATAGGGAAAAACTTTCAAAGAGAGAGAACATGACCACAACTAGGAGATTCTGCCTTGAAACGCCTAAGTTTCTAGGATCTTCTCAAATCCTAAGTCTGGGGTCTACATGGATCATATCTATTCATTGCTTTAATCAAATTTAAAGTCTCACTGCCACTCTATTTGAATAAATCCTAGGCGCATTAAAAACCTATTATCTAAGCAATATGGCAAGGTTGCCACCCAGGCTAAGCTATTGGTCTATTGTGCAAACTACAGTTTATATATCAGCAGCGTCAATAGTAGCAACATGCACTCTACCGTAATTCTATCACAACTAGCATTGTAATTGCCTAATTTCATATCTAAATAATCATTATGACAGTATGCTAACATGCATAATTTCTGATCGGCTGCACAACGGCGCATCATATAGCTCATGATATAATCTTGTCATTTTGACATCCTATTTTCGGCTATTCAAATGACAAGTATAATGACATTTCCAAGAATTTCGAGTTTTCATTTCAGCATTACAATGACTTAAAAACATGATTCATTTAAATGGGTGGTATGCCATTTTCTAGATTCTATCTTTCTAAGTGGACATTATAACATCCTAGCATATGAATTGAAAGTGAGGGACTCAAGACTTACCTAGAAAGCACGAGAGTTCTAATACCTACAAAGACACGAAAACGAGAGAAAATGTAAGATACGGACTTGACTTGAAAGAATAATAAGAAATTAAGAATAGATTTACCCCCCCTCAAATGCATCAATGAGGAGGTATATATAGGGGTTTGGACACGCCGCAGAGTGAGTTACTACATTCTTTCTCGGGTCATATCTCCCTTGATCGATGTTTGATCCGCGTAATTATGCGGCATTGAAACACTCATGTCAAGGGCTTTTTTATGAGCCCAATATCTTTAGGAAAATCCAGGAAGTTATGGACCCGAAAATTCAATCCATTGGGGCTTAAGGCTTGGGTTGACACATCGGGCATCATTTTCATGACTTATCATCTCCAAAAACGAGGTTTGGAAAGTTTCACTCGATTCCGAGAGCTTTAGGTACGGTTTTGGGTTATAGGACCTTTCTCTTGAGTATTGAAAAAATTGACCAAGATTTGACCGACAATTACTCCCTCACCTGACATTCATTCAACCCAATATTTGGTCATGTTGGAATGGTTGCGATCTCTAGTTCAAGAATATGTAATTGAAATTGGGAAATCGTTTGGCTTTTTCAATTGCTCCTGATTCGTGTGACAGAATTAAGCATCATACATTTACCAACCGCCCATACACAAATAGATGTATGATACAAAACTTCCTCACACTGCGAAAAACGAGCAACTTGTCTCGAAGGGTGGAAAATCTTGTTGGTTTTGAGTGTCAAAAGATTCGTTTTAATGTGTAGAACCCATTTTTCATGCAAAAAAAATGTTGTGGGCATTGTAACTGGCCAGTCAATTTTTGGTGAACTCTTGGTCAATCATATGGCAAACATAACAATTTTATGAATTATTCCCACATTATAAAATAGAGTCGATTAAGCACGTTTTAGTGGCTTTCTTGCCCCGTGGAATTTGAGGTGACGACAATTGATATGGTTGGGATTTGTTCTGATTATTTGTTTAAATGCATCGACTTCATGAATTGTATATTTTCCGAAACGGTGTACGTTGGAGTTGATTCGCTATCCATCCCACAACCGGACGAGATTTAACATGAGGGTTCCGACCAAAACAAAACGTGAGCGTAAAAAACGATTTTTAAAAATTTTTCATTATAGGAAATAAAACTATGTTTATCTAATACATATGAAAATCTCATGATATTGCATTTAAGAGTGGGATAGTGACATAGATAATCCATGAACTTTAACCTGATGTGCAATGTGATTACTGAACTTTTAATTTGTTAAAGTGGTCATGAAATTTAGGCCAATATGCAATATAGTCCATGAACTTTTAATTGATTCAATATGGTCTCTAGATTTTTAGTACATAACATTGAACATTTTTATATAGTTCAGGGACTAACTTGAACATGTATCAAAGTTCACATACCACATTGAACAAATTGAAAGTTCATGGACGATATTGCATATTGAATTAAAGTTCAGGGTCCACGTTACACATCGAACCAAAATTTAGGGATCATTTATGTCAATTTCCCTTTAAGAATTTATATAGGGAATTTGGTCGAAACGGCGCAGTGAGGATACTAATCCTTCCCCATGCGTAATCAAACATCTGGACCTTAAAATTTTGGTGTACTTATAGACCAATGGACCTTCTTAGATGGTTAGTTGACTTCCTTCCAACACTTAAGATTTGCTTTAAGGTTTCAGATTGACCAAGGAAATTATAGCTGGCGAAATCTAGAGCAGCTCAAGAAGTGGAACGACCGGAGCTCTCTCTGACCTATATGGCATGGGAAGACTCTAGGGTATTACACATTGGGAGGGTTCGCACGTAAAACTTTTGAGTTTTATTTTCAAATTTTTATTTTAATTTATTTTGAATTTTATTTTCCTTCTGAGTATTAGCGTTGGGAAGGGTTACAATAGCTTAACTTCTACTCCACCTAACCCATATTTCCAATGTACATTGTTTCATATATGCACGTAAATAAATATAGAAGTTTGATAATCAGTTACCTTCATTCGAATTGTTCCTCAAGGTACTCTATAAAACATCTAAATTCAATGGTTTCAATTATCTTTCTGCTACGAAACTGCTTCAAAACCTTGCGAATATTGTCTCTTTTACTCTGTATTTTCTGTTTGTACATATAATTTCACAAATGGGAGTTGTACTTATTCTCTCTTTATCCCCAATATAGATTCCGAAATCCCGTATCAATTATCCTAATCACTATTCCATTGGCTAACAATCATTGGCTCTCAATACGTACAACTTAAAAAAAAATTATTTGCATAAGTTTGTTTAAATTTATCTGAAATCCATTACACCTATAAAACGGTGTGCATATTTGTGCTTCACATCGTCAACCTATATTGACATAGATTAGAGGTCGATTAGATAGACCAAACACGGGCAAAGCAGGAAAATAATCTTGTTGTGAAGATGATAAGAAAAAAAATTCTTTTAGCATGTCATAAATAAAATAGTGCTTATTATCCAGTGGTGGGCCACTTATAACAAAATTCAAATAATCATAACATAAAGTCACAGCCTTTGAATAGATGTAAATCTTCAGATCAAACTCTTTCTCTCGGCCAATTGCATGTAGCTTCTTGTTCTTCGCACGTCATTTCCTTTCCTCCTCTTCAGATACACCAACCCTCCCAAACCAACCATACAAACACCCATCGCCACCCCAAGCCCAACCCCGCCTCTTCCTGCCTTGCCTTCACCTCTATCCTCATTCTCCTCCTCTGGTTGCTTCTCCGGCTTTTGTTCATACACGACGGAATCATCGCCGTCGCTATTGCTCGAACTCGACTTGTTAGGCATCGATGACGTGATCTGATGATCAGGCCAAAGATCGGCTTCGCTGTCCTCGTCTTCAGGACGGGGCTCCGGAGAAGACTCTACGTTGTCTTCTGTCGATAAAGAAGGTGGCGAGATTGGTGCTTCGTCAGGAGGAGAGGGAAGAGGAGAAGTTAGAGGTGTTTGCTGTGGAGATTCGGAGGTGGTTGTTTGCGAGATCGGTGCTTCACTGTATCCGTCTGCCACAGAAGGAGGAGATTCGGAGGAGCCAGAGAGACCCAAAGGAGGATACACAGGAGGAGAGAGGGAGTCGTACTCAGTTTCTGCCGGTGATGGAGATTCAAAGGATGAAGGATGATATTCGGTTGAGACATATTCGACTTCGGGGTACTGAGCGGGCGATGACGACGGTGATGATGGAGAGACGATGCTAACATGAACGGCGAGAGAGAGCGAAACGACTATGAGAAGGGAAATATGCGAAGTGAAGCTACTGAATCTGGCCATGGTTGATAGCTTGATATGATGATGCTTCCTCGGTGATCTTTAAAAGAAATTAGAGAGGCAAGAGGGGGGAGTCGACTATTACAACGTTTTGATGTAGCTAAAGCGTCTTGATGTAGGGGAGTTGAGTGATTTGAAGGAAATTTGTCACGCAAAGTGGAGTTGACGGTGGAGGAGAAGAACGAGATTAAGTAAAGGCAACACGTAGAGTGAACGTTTTCAGTGATGTATGTTTTCAGTCGCGTACGAAAACATGGCACGATCTTTTATACGGGGATTCAGTTCACAAAACGTGCAATAATGCCTAGGTATACTAAGATCTAAGAAATAGTTTTATAAGAATTTATATTCTACATACCCTACATCGCATAACCACTTACTCAAAATGCTAATAACAGTCTGTCACATTTCTTAATATGCGATTTTATTAAACTGGTCATGCCTAAAATTAGTCATGGATGGGGAGAGAATGATGTGAAGAAAGAGTTCTCTCTTGATGTTAAATTTGTGAAGCGACAAAGCTTATTGCGATACAATGAGCATTGCTTATTTTAATTATGGATTGATTCATATTGTTGTGCTTGGCTTCGCAAGATGTCATTGCTTGACTGTAAAGAGGATAGAGATCCTTTGAATTTAGAGGCTGAATTTACAACTTCGATTTGCCTTGAAAGATTGGACAGCTCGTCAAACAAATATATAGTTCAGACTAAGCTTCATTATCAAAATACAGTTATTTTAGCCAATATTCTTGCATTTTATGGAAAAAAAATTAGACCCACCAAACCCTAAATTTAATCTCTCTCTCTCTCTCTCTCTCTCTCTCTCTCTCTCTCTCTCTCTCTCTCTCTCTCTCTCTCTCTCTCTCTCTCTCTCTCTCTCTCTCTCTCTCTCTCTCTCTCTGTGGTCGATGGCGGTGGCACTGGTGACGGATGGATGGGCCTCGTTGACGGTTCATCGAGGGCAACGCCAATGATGGCATGCGCATGCTCGGGTAAGAAGAAAGAAGATGGGGAACAAATACAAAACCCCCAAAAAAATAGAGTAGGACACAATGTATTGGGCTTTTGGACTGGGTTGGGCCGCCTATGATGTGCTGACTCAATCCAGCCCATGAAGGATTTGAGTGTTTCCCGCGAGAGGGAATGGTTAGATGAGAAGAAAACTTCTCTTCTAGAAAACTTCTCTTCTTAAAAACCTACGCACACGTCCAATGCAAAGAGTTTGCAACTCCACTGAAGCATACAAGTTGCAAAGCACACGTGTGCTTTATTAAGGGGTATGTTTAATTGTGCGAATACAGGTGTTAGTCGGAGTGCGTTATTACACTTTTGACCGGCAAGGATAGCATCAGTATTACGTGGAACAATCTCAGTTCTTGGGACTTAAGATGCGATGCCGGAATCCCAACGTTGTTATCAGAGTGCGCTGACCGTTTCCTATGCTTTTGTTTGTATCCGACAAATGCCGTGTTTGAGTAATTTTTGTATGCAATCCATGTTTGACACCTAGGAAGATAAATGTGTCTTTGAGCTATGCTGGAAAGTTTTGAGTCGTTTCGGCCGAACAGTTTGCGAGAAAATTGGAGCCAAACTGGGAAAAGTCGAATCTCTCAACAAGATAGCGAGGGACCAAAGACAGTAAGCGAAGCTCTCTCTTGCCCTGCTAAGGAAAAGTGGAATTACGAGGATGAAGGCAAAATCTTTATTGTTACTCCACAAGATAGTGAGGAACCGAAGACAGTAAGTGAAGCTCTCTCTTGCCCTACTAAGTAGAAGTGAAATAAAGGCAATGGAAGAAGAAAAGGAGTCCGGGGAGTGTGGGAGTTACTTGACTTGCTGCCTAGGCGTAGAGCCATTGAGAACAAATGGATTCGCATTTTTAAAAGAAAGGAAGATGGGTCGATTGACGAATACAAAGCTCGATAAGCGGCAAACAATTATACTCAACAAGAGGATATTTATTATAAGGAAACCTTTTTGCCAAGGGCAAGATTCACCTCTCTTTGGCTCATATTAGGCACAGTAGCATGTCTGGATTTAAAACTATATAAAATGAATGTTAAAACTGCTTTTCTGAATTGTGAACTGAATGAATAAATCTGTAAGGAATAACCTACTGCTTTTGTTCAAGAAGGCCGAGAGCAAAAAGTGTGCAAGCTGCAAATATCTATCCATAGCCTTAAAATATCATTCAGGGAGTGGCACCTCTCATTGACATTTTTTATAATTAAATGAAAAAAATTGTAAACAACAATTTTAGGGTCGTACCAAACGCATTCCTGTTCTTTTTCTATTCATGCAATATAACTTTTGTGCAGTTACCATACGTATTCTTCTGCTTAAAAACTCGCCCAAGGAATAGAATTAAAAAAAATTATTTTTGTACAGAAATTATTTCCGAAAACAAAAACGTTACCATACGTACCCTATGTGTATGTTAAGCAATCCATCGGTGAATTTGTAATTTTATTCTTATATTTGGGTGATATACTATTGGCCGGAAATTCTAATGGGCTTGTGTTAATCATAAAACAATGGTTATCTTGGAAATTTGATATGAAAAATTTAGGTCAAGCAAATTGTACGCTAGGAGTTTCCAAGGGGGGGGGTCGTTCAAGAAAGTTGATTTATTTTTCTCAATGTTAGTGATATTAGGATATCTACTTGATTATGCATATCTCTTAGAATTATGCATATATCTTCTTTGATAGTGCATATACTTGATTGATTATATTTGATATTGTGTTTATCTTATTACCTTATATAGACATATAATAAAACTTATAAATAGACTCTCAATGTACTCTTTTCTATATATCAAAATATAAACAAATTCCAAATTCTATTCTACCGCCTTATTATTCTCAACTTTGTATCAGAACCGCCGTTCTTGCGGAAATCCAAAGTGCATTGGGTGCATATCACACCTGGTGCACCCTCGGCACCGCATGCACTCATAATAAAATAAATCCATTCCCGCCACTTGATAGTGTTCATCTGAGTGCCTCATTCCCATCTGAGTATGTGTCACGGGGGTCATGTTACGACATCGGCAACGCTCGCCAAGTTGAGCTTTTCTTTTGTATGGAGATATTTTTGATGTTGTGAAGAGGTGTCTTTGTACAACAACTTTTGCTCAGCAAAGCCTAGCTTATTTCGTTTGCTATAACCATACCAACCATATCAGCTGTGTTTGTTAAGTTATTGTCCCGACAACAAAGTCAATCGCAATGCCTCCAATTCTCAACTTTTCACTTCTAATTTCGAGAAGTTGACACCACCACCACCACACTCACCGCCGTCAGATGATCAACATATTGAAATCTCGTCATCTACAAAAGCCCGGAGCCCCCACACGCACCCTACACGCAGCCACGCCACGCATCCTCCATGCCCAATTGTGCAGTGCTAGTTCAGCTATCTGATTTCATGTTGATCGAAGATTTTGGGAAACTGTTCGGATTATTTTTCAAACTCAAAGTTGATTTTTTTGAGGGGAATGTTAGTGATATTAGGATATTTACTTGATTCTGCATATCTCTCAGGATTATGCATATATCTCATTTGATAGTGCATATCCTTGATTAATTATGCTTGATATTGTGTTTATCTTATTACCTTAGATATACATCTAATAAAGAAAACTCTTAAATGTCATAAACCTATTCCACTTTTTCCAATTCAATCATAAACCTTTTAAATGTGCTAATTGAGTCCTAAACTTTTTTAGGTCTTGTCAATTGAGCCTATCCTGTCAATTTTAGTTAAAAATTACTGATGTGAATGCTGGTCATGCCATATAGGACAGTCGGCGCTGACGTGAATATTTTTTAATAATATTTTGAATTTTTTAATAAATTTTTTGGTTTCTTTTTTCTTTCCTTTTCTTTAGTCTTTTCTAGTTTTTGGAGTGAGGGCCAGCGACCTTTGTCGGCGCTGGGCCAAGGACGCGACGCCCTCATTGTGGCCGATGAAGGCCGCCAAGCCTTTGTCAGCCCTCACTCCAAAAACCAGAAAAAAGTAAAAAAAAAAAAAGAAAAATAAAACCATACAAATTTACCACCGCCCGCAGCGGCTGCGTTGGCTTGCGCTCTTGTCCCCCCACGAAGGGATCGGAGTTCGAACCCCAGCGTAGTCGTTAGGGATTCTTAAGTGTGGCGCCGTGGTGGTGGGTCCTGCGCTAGCGTCACCCCAGGTTTACCCCTCCGGCTGTCAGCCGTGCGGGGGGTTCCTGGGTCATAAAAAAAAAAAAACCATACAAATTTTCAAAAAAATTATTAAAAAATATCCATGTCAATGCCGGGTCGTGCCGGCCGTGCCACATAGTGGTACGGCATTCACATCAGCAATTTCTAGTTGAAATTGGCCGAATGGACTCAATTGGCAAAATATGAAAAGGTTTAGGACTCAATTGGCATAATTGAAAGGTTTATGATTGAATTGATAAAAGTACAACAGGTTTAGGATTTTTTTGATAATTTTCCCCACAATCCTGTGAATACTCCTATTGTGAAACACGAATCGAGCCTTGTCATATGCCGAGGACTCCTAAAGAAGAAAGTGTAGTCTCAGTGGTAAAAGGTGCTTTGCGGTACCTTATTTTAGTATAGTTGGGAGTTTGATGTATGTTATGTACACATTCCCATAAATATGTTGTGCCATGGGATTAGTCAACAAATTCCGGTCTATTCTGGGAAAAGACATTGGAAAAGCAGTAAAGAGTTTCTAAAGATATTAGAAAGGCACTACTGATCACCCTTTATGATTCGATGGGTCTGATTTGCATTTTGGTTGGTTATTTAATGCCAACTTAGTTGGTAATTTGGTTGAACGCAAGTCAACTTCAGCTTCTGCTTTCTTATCACAAACAAAAAGGAGCAAGAACACGCCGAAGAATCAGCCCAAGTCAGGAGCATAAGGAACATGAACGATTCAATCCCGATGCCGCGAGACCGAAGCGAAAAACAAGCTCATTGCAAAGAAGACAAAGACGCGCGGCGCGAAAGGAGAGGAATCAAGTGAGATTCTAGGGTTAGAGTCGAGTCGAGCGCCAGTGCTTTGTACCTCTATTGATTAGTGAAGATTGCAAGGGCAAGCCACCACTCTCTCTCTCTCCTGAGTCTCTTCCGTGCCATGCGAGCGAAGAGGAAAGAGGAGCATGAGAAATAGAGAGGAGGAGGCTGAGGTTAGAAACAAAGAAACTAGGATTGTTACTTGTTTTAGCTTTTATGAAACCGGTCCCGTAACTGGATCCAAAACCGGTCCAATTCCCAGGCAAGTCTTCACTCGGAACCAGGAACTAGACTGGTTTCCACCAATTCCAAATCTTTGAAATCAGGAAGCAGATCTGTTTTCAGGGTGGCCCAATCCGATTGCTAGTAGAACCAGTTCGAACGCATATCCTTAATACTCATCGCTCGAGCTGGCATTTTGTGTAACCCCTCTTGTTTCCATCTCTATCTTCATGAAAAAGAAGCATAATTTGAGGTCTGATTATATTCCAAGTTCTAGTGATCGACACAGTGGACTGACCGATACATCCTTACTTAAAGAGATTGCGTATTCAAAATGGGAATAAGGCGAACGAAATGCATTCATGGAATCCATGTAAATAGCACCTTGAACACATTGACCGCATGCCAAAAGGGCCGACAAGTACCGGAGAAGCAGCTAACATAGCAAAAGCAGATTGGAGCTAATTCTTGGGGCACAGCAAAAAAACCAAAGTGCCGAGCAGAGAACAACAACGCTAAATTTTACAGCTTTAGTTTCCATCCTCAAGTCCTGGCTATTCCTCAAGCCAGGACAGAGCAGCACCACCCCCTGAGAAATTTATATGACAGATGAGCTTCTGAAGGACCCAAGCGCCTTAGCCGCTCCAGCTCTCAGGATGTATTGGTGATAGAATGCAGCGATCGCTGCGCCAATGAATGGTCCGACCCAGAAGATCCACTGATCGAAGCAACAAAACAATCACGAAACGAGAATCGTTAAATGTTAGCACTAGCAATCTCAATTTTCAGGGAAGAGAAAAAGATTTAAGGGCATGTGTGAGTGGGGGCATACTTGGTCATCCCATGCCTTTTGCTTGCCGTACATAACCGCGGCTCCAAAGCTTCGAGCTGGGTTGATGCCAGTTCCGGTGATCGGGATGGTAGCGAGGTGGACCATGAACACGGCGAATCCGATGGGCAGTGGAGCCAAAACCTATTTCATTGAAAACAAGATAAGGTCAAACTTGAAAGCCAAATCCGTTAGACAAATTCCTCAATAGATATTAATTTCAGTGACCTAAATATGACTAGGTCCCGATAATTTGTACGATTATAGAGGTAGTGATATCAGTACTCACGGGAACGTGGGAGTCTCGGGCACTTCTCTTGGGGTCAGTGGCCGAGAAGACGGTGTAGACAAGGACGAAGGTTCCGATGATCTCCGCAGCCAAACCGGTGCCCGTGCTGTAACCAACGCTTAGCCCATTAGCGCCGCCACCATACTTGGTATAGTACGCCTTCTGGAACTGCTTCACCAGACCGCACCCACATACGGCGCCCAAGCACTGAGCCACCATGTAGAGCACGGCTCGGACCAACGACACCTTCCTCGCCAAGAACAGCCCGAAAGTGACTGCCGGGTTTATGTGACCTCCTGCGGAAGACACCACACCAATACCCGAAAAGGTATTAGCACTTCAATTGCTCCAAATTTAGCTTTTAAGCTATACAAGATATGCAGTGCCACATTATTTACTAACCTAAGTATATTTTCTAAATGGGAAGGAACGAGTTCTTCTGAAATCTTAACATATGAAATGCTTTCTCATCCACTCATCTATTTGTAGGGTGAGTGTGATATGTCACGGTTCTGATCAACAAAATCAAGGGTTATGTATCTATACTTCATTTGACTCTAATTATTAAATTAAGTAGTCTCTCTATAGTGTTTGTTGGGATGAATTTTGCTTTTTGGGTCTCTGTTTTCTCCCTTTTTTTTCAAGTAAAATGCTATTCATCTAGTTTTCTCACTTGGATTAAAAGAGAAAGTCTTAGCTCAAACTCGGATGTTCAGAGTAATATGAAATTGAAACATCAAATCCTAAAAAGGTTCAAAAAACAAAAATCATTCACAGCAGTCCCCTAAGTTTCTACCTTTCATTTTTATCTTTCACAAGTAAAAGATTAATTTCATTCTATCTTTCGTTTTTACCAAATATGCTCACAGATTAATTATCATATGAAACCGTATAGAATTGCGTGTTTGTTCAGATTTAAGTATATCCGTCAAAATTTTAAATATTATCCAAGTTACAAAAATTATAAAATAATTATATATTAATAAACGCATCAATTTTTAAATGTTATTGAAAATTTGCAACATTTACAATTAAAAACAGTTAAAAAAACATGCACCGCACAATCTAGAACTAAAGTATAACCAAAATTCAATTAAAACATGCAGCTAAAGAAAATACTCTAAAGGGAAAACAGTTAGGTTCGCTTTACATAATTTCACTCAAATCATGCCAAGTTAAAAATAAAAAAAGAAAAAAACTTGAAATGACGAAACACTTTCTAACGAAATCAAGCATTGACAACAAATAACAAGTAATGAGGAAACCAGAGCATAGAGAGGGAGAAGAGAAGCCACCAGAAATGCCGGCAGTGCAGTAAACGAGGACGAAGATCATGCCGCCGAAGGCCCAGGCGATGCCGAGGATGCCGACGCCGCCGCACTCGTCGCCGCCCTTGGTGGTGTCGATCTGGCTCTTGTAGCCGATCACGGTGAGGACGGTGATGTAGAGGAACAGGAGGGTGGCGATGAACTCGGCGATGATGGCCCTGTAGAAGGACCACTTCCCCAGCTCCTCCGCGTCCACCAGCGGCGCCGGCGGCGGGTCCTGGTAGTCCTTCGCCCCAAACGAGCCGTGCCCACCTCCGACCTCCATGTCCTTGGCCATTGCCGGCTCCTTGCTTGAGAGAGAGAGAGAGAGAGAGAGAGAGAGAGAGAGAGAGACAGGCACAGAGAGAGTGAGTGAGAGAAAGAGAGGGGGCTCGCTTAGCTTGCTTCTTGGAGATTGAAGTTTGGAGTGCAATGCAAAGGGAAGCAAAGGGGGAGGTCGTATTTATTGGGGCATTGTACTCGGGAGAGTGACCAAGTTAGTGGTGCTCGAATGGCCTTGAGCCTGCCGACCCTCCCCGCCCTGATGTTGACACCTGCCCTCCTTTTGGTCCCATCACCCCGCGGCCCAACCCCAGCCCCCCGGGGATTACCCAATATCTCTCCTCGTGCTTCTTTCAATCTCTCGATAATCACACCCATAATCTCTGACCGTCGATTCAATACGTAATATGACTCATAAATTTTTAATTTATTAAATATAATCTTTAGACTTTTCATACATACTCGGTTCAGTTCTTGTATTATATGAATATTCAATATTGTTCTTCCATTAATTTAAATTCAAGATCAATATTAAGCTTTTTCATATAGTTCGAAAACTAAATTAAATATATATATCAAAATTCCAGGGACCCCATCGAAATGTTCAAGAATCACATTACACATTGAGCTAAAGTTCAGGATCCACATTAAATAATTAAAAGTTCAAAGACTACATTACATATTGGGTTAACGTTTACGGATCATATATGTCATTTTCCCTTCGCTCTTCCACTAGCGTCGGTGTGCCTCGGTCCCTAAGTTAAAAACCCACACTTCTCGTGAAAACGTAACCACGCAAAATGTGTATGCATGGGGCCATGCACTACATTACGAAAACCGGCCCCCGCATTGGTTCTATCAGCTGATGAGCAATTGCATCGATTTTCTTATGTGGTGTGAAAAAATGTGTATATACACTTAGCTGCTCCAATGAAAAACCAAAGGGTTTAGGGCAAAGGTCCAGAGTGCTATGGTCCCCAAGGTATACATGCAGAAAGCTGGGAATAGATGGAGAAAGGGGAACGGGTGATTAGCATGGTATTAGGTAGAGCCGAGAGCATCCTGAAACTAAAAAGATAACGACATAAATGGTTCATAAACTTTGATTCAATATATAATGCCATCTTGAGCTTTTGATTTTTTTAATGTGGTCCATGAACTTTAGCCCAATGTGCAATGTCGTCTTTAAATTTTTAATTTTTTTAATATGCTCCATAAACTTCTAGTAAATATTCAAATTAGTTCGTATATTAAATGAAAATATACAATGTTATTATTTCATTAATTTAAATTTAGGGACAATATTGAACATTTTCATATAGTCTAATAATTAGTTTGCACATGTACCAAAAATTTCATAAATCATATTAAATAAATTAAAAATTAATGAACTACATTATATATTAAATTAAAATTTAAAAATTATTTATGTCAATTTTCCGAATAGCTGGCCATCTTTGACTTCTCGAGGTCATGAGTAGTTCCCAACCCCAATCTCTAGTTCAGTAGATGCACGGTGGATTTGGTGGAATCTGACACATATTCAATGAGACCTAGATCTGGCAACAAATTCTTTGTTGTGGAATAATTTGTCCTATCAGAACTTCGGAAATGCAAGAATTATGTGAACCTTTTGAAAGTTCCCATCTATAGAACTTAGTCTATTTTAGGTGACCACATAAATAGTAGTTTAGATTATCAAAGCCTATGAGCTCTAGGGAGAAATTATTTTCTATTTTTTTTTTCGGCCTAACACTTATTTTGACGCCTTGAGTTTAAATCTGCCTTATTTGCTATGCCACCCAAAAAGTAGAAATATCAAACTTACCAAAGCAGGAAAAGTTGTTCGCCGCCGACTTCTAACTTTCAACTTTGTTTTTTTCCTTAATTAAATTGGAAAATAGATGTGAAATATGTCGACATTATGCTTTGAAAACAATCGTAACGTGAAAGACCACAAAATTAAAGCAAAAATCAAGGGCTAAATTGAATTAATCCAATGAAGATCTCAATCATATAAATCTTCCATATATTAAACACTTACTTTTTAGCCCCTTTCAATGTTACCCCTTAAACAGAAATTCTTCTTTTCGCGTTATGAAAGGCGAAAAGGTAAAGTCACATTTTGCCGGCCGCTTTCTCTAGAACCAACTCACCACGCACTTTTAGCGGTAAGATAGAACCCTCCCGATCGACTCCTCAAATCATGTCCACTTCTTATGATCATTCTCTTATCATTATTCTCCAACGACAGAATTTCACTAATAATCATAAAATTTACGGTAAAGTAATTACGATGATAACCGAATACGCACATAACACGTGCATAGAATCTAGTACGAAGTAAAAGGCGCAATCAAATTAATGTCCGAAGTCGGCAAACTCGTCGTCCTTTAAGCTAAGGAGCAAATTTATGTTGTTGTGCAACTAAAATGTCGGAAAAGGAACTTGAAGTGTCCCCCCTTCGTTCATCAGCACGTGAAAGGGAAGGACTCGTTTTCGAGCAGTTCCAAAGTTTTTTCCGTCTCTTCTTTTGATTAGATGGAGATGGAGTGCTTTGTCCGATCTCTCATGATCGTGCAACGTCCCGCTAGTCTCCCCATCACGCTGAACGGCGAAAGCGGAGTGGCTCATACTCGGACACGCCACCTCCACCTACTGTGGTTGGGACCCACGAATAATCATAGTACGGTGCGTTTGAAAAGTCAAATCGATGAAAAGGTTAGATGTCCGAAAGCGTCGTGATACGTGTTCCACCGTCCCACTCCACGCACGCACCTTCGCCACCGCCACCACCACCACCGCCCACCTCATTTGTCCAAGTTTTCGGTCTACCCATCCACTCGGATGGTTACACGTGGCAACCGGTGGGCCCTGCTCTCCGACCATCATCTTCCAAGAGAATAATATCGCGTAATTGATTTCATCTCGCCGCACATTCATTAAAGTCCCCACTTAAACCACACGGGTCATCATGGTCTGTCCCACTATTCATTTGACAAGAATTTTGTAACGGTGTTTTACGGACATTGGCGAAACGGTCTAGTGAGAAAATTTCGCAGTTTTCAATGTACCAAATCAATTCGTTGATAACCAAATCGGTTCATATCAATTATATTCAGTAAGCATCGTAAGACAACAGTTAATAAGATTGATCTCATAAATCAGCTTTCTCGTCGTTAGTATTACTATATATGGCAAACAATTGCAATCGTTTAAAGAATGAGAAATTTCCAACATGGGGGTGATACCCCATTTTCTATTTCATCATTTTTATCTGATTCTTCGTCTTGCACGCTCTGATCCACCAACAATCAGCGTCCTAGTAAGTGCGGCCTAAATAATTTTGTCCGAGGGAGACCGAAAGTTTTTGCTTCACTGGAGTGGAACCCCCCCGCAAAGAGAGAATTTTGCACCATGTCGAAATAAGGAAAGAGGTAGAGAGAGAGAGAGAGAGAGAGAGACAGAGAGAGAGAGAGAGAGAGAGGTAGAGACTGTGGCTCATGGCTTGCCACGTCTCAGTGCTAGGCCGTTACGAAATGGTCGGTTGTCGTCTTCTGGTATTGAGATGGACTTTTGCTGGCACGCCTATGCCGTGCATGATTAGGCACAAGGAATCTAACGGCTAAGAGGCTCTGGTCCTCTGGACCATTAGGAAATTCCCTTGGAGGCCAGGCCATGAATTCTTATTGTTTGGTATTTGGTGTTTTTTCTCAAGATAACTTAAAATTCGGTCGAGAAGTCATATATGATCCAAATTGCTCGTGTTAATGTGATGTCACATTTGAGTTTTTTACAATAATTTCGACTCGCACCCGCATCTTTTTTCTAGTCTACCGCAAGTTTTGGTATTTTATAAGGATTATCGATAGGTCCGCTGACAATGTAATTTTTATTTTTTTTTTACATATTCACGGTTGATGGATGACGAGTGTACTTGGAGATAGTCATGTGACCGACTTGATCCACACGCATGTCGACTATCCAAGGGCGAAAGTGCAACTTATTTCTTACGTTGTGGGTGGACCCGGTCAAATGCATCTTATAACAAGTCTAATTTTTACGTATCGGTGGATTCTCAATCATTTTCTACTTCGAGAGAGGAGACAAGAGCAAATGTATATGTGGTGTGGAACAGTGAGTTCACGTATGGCTGTTTGCCTTCATCAAAGGATCAAACTGAGAAGTTGAGAGAAATAAATTGAAGTATACACATGAAGAATGCAATTAATCTAAACCTCAATGAAGCTTTGAAGGGTAGTCTAGCCTTTCGCTATGCTTTATAATTACTGAGGCATATATTGCGCGCATGCGTCATCACGGTTGGTTTTACGTATGAAGAGAAATGAATAATATTTTTAAGGAGTTAAGTGATTATTTATTTGAATGAATATCCAGGGATAGTTATTAAACATGTCTGAATTTGATGATTGCTTAATGAAGAGTGAGTAGTGGGTAGTTTTAACTTTTGATGCATGTGGAAAACAGAATGAGAGATAAATGGAAGTTATTATAATTTTTAATTATATTTTTCATCTTTTTATTAGTTAATATAGGGATAAATTCAGGAAAGCCACTAAAAACCCCAATTTTATCTCAAATACATAGGTAAATAGATACTAAAAACTTTAAATACAAATAAGTATTAACATTTTAAACACACCGTGGTTTTGTTGGTAATGTAATTTTACAAAATATAGTATTTTTTGTTTTGGTGAGGATAATATATATATATATGTTTTTTTTTTTGGTAACCCAGGGAACCCTCGCACGGCGGACAGCCGGGAGGTAAACCCTGGGGGCGACACGTGCTAGCCACCACACAAGTGCACCGGTTAAGTCACCCTGCGGCGCCCGGGATTCGAACACCCAACCTTTTGCGAGAGGAAGAGTGTCCTTTCCAGCAGCGCCACCCAGGCGGGTGGTATATATATATATGTTTGTGGATGCTTAAAGCCATCCAAGTGCTCTCTATAAATGTCCTTAGACAACTATCGTTGATTGAGTAGCAACCCCCAATTTACTTTGTTTAGATGTTCACGAATCCCTAAGACAATTTGGATCATAACCAAATGTGTTGTCGTTTAATAAGGTTTTTAAGTGTTGGAGTAATTACAAAATCAATAACAAAGAAGTAGTGCTTTAACATGGTAACATGAAATT